AACACATCAATCATCATAGTGAAGCTCTTCAACAGAAACTCACACACCCACATCGATTCGTAAACAGGAAGAAACCATAAACAAACATGAATTTGAAAACTCTTCTAAGTACATAGAGAATTAGGTAAAGTAATATAAAAAACGAAAGTAATTTCTTAATACTACTAAAAAGTTAGTAATGCGATAAGGAAGACAAATATGCAATCGTGACTCAATGACTCTAACATAAACAAATATGCAATCGTGATGGCTAAATGATAAAAATGAATGCGGCCATTATTTATAGTGGGGAAAAAGATTCATTTATTTAGGGTTAGCTGTACAATATTCAAATTATATATAGATTGATGCTTTTTTTTTTTGTTATAAATGCAAATGATCGCATATACTTTTTGAATAAATTAGTTCCAAAAAGATTGTGTAAGTTCCTAAATTTCTGATGATTTGAATATTATATTAGTAACTATATAGGAGATTTCTAAAATTTTAAATAATAAATATATGCGATTAAAGTAATAATAATAAATACATTTTGTAAAAGTTGAAATTGGTTTGAGTAAATTGTTGTAGAATTGAATAATTAATAAATGGTGATTGCAATTTAGGTAATATTCTTTAAGATTCGAAATCTTAACTTAATGATTGACATTTAAACAATTTTATATATGGTTAGTTGTTTGAAATCGCATTATATGGTATGAAAGATTTGTTGATTGAATATATTTATTAGGGAATATTAGGAAATCAAATATTTTTGAATTGAATTTTCGGGTCAAAATCAGTTAGAGATATTTGGGGATTTAATGTAGGGATATTATCTAATAAGGAATTATCCGATTCAAAAGATTTCGGGTCAAAACATCAAATATGGGAGGATCCGAATCAAAGATTTCCGGGTCAAAAAATTGAAAAAACCCGACCCGATTAGGGACCCCAAAAAGTGTTGCAAAAATGTATAGTAGATATAAGGAGATGGACGGAATGGAACAGAAGTTCTTTGCCTTAAGTTTCAACACCCTATACAAGACTCCTTAGAAACGCCCTTGAACTGGCCGATATTGTTCATGATACAACAAAGAGATATGGCACATGTGTAAGGTCTCTATGACCCAAAAAAAGTATGACCCTAATATCCAGATAAATTTACATTGTAGACTGAAATGTAATATGATTTATACTATGAAGTTCTTGCATTAGGCTAGTCTAATTTCGAACTTTTTCATTTGCAGGTTTTTGCAGACTGCACTCAAAGCTTCACGATTCAGACAAGAAACTATTAAGGTAGGGTAACTTATACGAGAGTCTGAAAATTTTAAGGTTAAGATCTCATTTCGAAGACCATGGGATCCATCCCTAGAGGGAAAGTTCCCCTAAATATGATCAAAAGGTCCATCTTGCATTATGTGTTTTCTTTGACAAGAAAAAAAAAGTAGAGCAAAGTCATCGACTATTTATCTTTCTTTCAGGTTTATAATGCTCTTCTGAAGTTAACTCATACGAAATTTACAAACATTGTTGATTAAGAAAATCACACAATGAATTTGTTTAAAGGGGAAAACAAATTCGATTATCTCTCTTGCTATTTGTGATCAAAGACCCAGATGAAAGGTAATTTTGGTTGCTTAGAGACAAAGTAAGGGTTTGTGCTCAAGAATAATCAAGAAAATTAGGGTTTTCTCTCCAATTGCGGATCCTCTGAATAGAGGACAAACCCCTCTATTTATACATAATTAAAGCGGTTTAGAGATATGTTAATCTTCTAAATCTTCGGGGCCTTATCTTCTGCTTATCCTTTCTTTTCGCGATTCTTCTTTTCGCTTAAGGAAAATCTTCCTTTTTCTTGAACGAGGAAGTCGGTTTAGGCGATCTCCCGTCTTCGAGTTGAGCTCTCCGGGCGACCTCCTTTCCTTAGCCTATTAACAGGCTTAACCGGGATACCCCGGTTTAACTGAAATCTCAGTTTTATTCGTAATTTGTCCGGTTTAAGCCGGTATTGTCGGAGGTGCTAATTCCTGCACCAGCAAACACCTTAAGGAATTTCTTGGCGCCGATCATGGGTGTTGGATATGGGCTTCACCCATTAAATGCCATTTAGCCCAAACAGAGACCCAATTATTTATTGGGCCTGTTGTCTCTCCAAACCAGCCCATCAAGCTTCTATAATAACTCGCGTCATGCGAATCATGTCTTCATGAGAATCAAAGAGTGGTACCAAGGGCTCGGCTTCACGGGTGTGGGGAGCTGGTACGGCTGAGATAACATTGCAATATCCTTTAGGATTTTCTTCGGCTCTTCCAGGAAGTACAACGGTTTATCGTTTAACGGTTTAGGAGGTTTGAGCGACTTGAGTTTCAAGTTTCCTCACATGTGTGGAAAGACTTTCGAACTTTTCATTCAATTCACCATATACATTCTCAATCTTTGCGTTGATATCTCGAGAAATCTTTTGATGAGAAGCTAGAAGTTCTTGCATCATCATCTCGAGTTTGCTTCCTTGAGAAGGTGCGGCTTGGATTGGTTTGGCTTGAAATGGCACCTTGTCATTGTTTGATAGTAAGATTTGACTAGTTCTCAATTACCCGAAAGCACTATCATGTCGTTGCAGTACTTAAGGTGTCAATCCATTCAGGTGTGATGCTAACAATCAAGATGTGATCAGAAGTCACTAAGTCAAGCCAAGCATAAACAGGTTTTGATATCGACTAAGTGATCATGCATAAAACAAAAAAAACTAACAGAATTCAACAGGATACTCGATCGCACAGTCTATCTCCAGACAGTGGGTGTGATCGATTATGAAGTGAAAAACAGACAGAAATGTGAATAAAACTTAGCAACATGCAATAGAACAAGCAAAGAACAGAAATGTAAACAGAGAAATCAAATGGATGAGAAATCCCTAAGAATGGTGTAATCGAGTAGAATGGTCTCCTTAGCCTATCAGGTGGTTAACAAACTCAATCAAACTATCCCTAGACAACATGTTCAATAACAGATCAACCCACTTCTGTAATAAAAACCCTCAAGCAAAGCTAGTAGTCCCAGACTTAATCACCATTTACGAAAACTAACCTAGCAGGCATTAAGAATCAACATGCTAAAGCCAAAACGCTCTCTGTAACCAATACCTTGGGACAGAGACACGAATCTCTGGAATTAGTGGTTCAGACATTTCATCAAACACTTTCTGGGTGTGGAAATGTCTGTGCTCAAATTCCAGTTAATCAAAAAAGAATTAGCATCAACAAAAACTAATCCAGAAGGGATCTAAACAAAGAAAGCTTAACCACCTGATAGATTAAGGATTCTAAACTACCCTAACCCATCCTTAAGAACCATAATCACTACTCAAGAAACTTGCTCAAGAGCACTTACCCATAAATTGCTAAGAAACATCATAACTTAAATATATCAACAAGATAAACAACTTTGTAGAAGGAATCAAATGCAAAAACTTAAAGGATTAAGAGTAATTTAGATTACAAAATTCTGGAAAATAAAATTATTCAGCGGATAAAGCCACTGACCCCTGGACAAAGAGAAAGAGTCATTTTTATAGTAAATACTAGGAAACCCTAAAACACAAAACGACAAAAATCAAATATGATTTTAAAGACATACTCGACATGTGATTGAGTAACAGGGTCGAGTATGATGTATAATCAAGGTAGCGCCTTTATGACTCTTGGTCGGCTGTGTAGGGATCGAGTGGCATGTCAAGTGGTCGATCAAGTGGTTGCTCCTTCCTCTTCTCTTCCTTATACTCAAATTGTCTGGTTGAGTACGGATTCGAGAAGAGTCTAAAGCAATGCGATCGAGTATGTAGTCGAGTGATTGATAGAATGGTCTGATGAGTGGACTGCTTCTCCTCTGCCTATGTGATTGAGTATGATGTGGGTACAGGTGATCGAGTATCTTCTGAAACTCTCAGGGGTATCTACGCGACCGTATTAATTGAGTGGGATGTGAGCTGATGTGATCGAGTGGCATGTGAGCTGATGTGATCGAGTGGCTGCTGCTTCGCTTCTCTTTTGCATTTTGCTCGATCACATTGGTCGAGTGACATGTGCTTCTGCTCTGCTTCTCCCCAGTTTACACATCAACAACTCCAAAGTACCTGAAAACAACTCCAATATGCAATATGTATGCAAGACTGACCTAAGTATGCAAAGTATGCACAAACGATGAAGAATGATATGAAACAATGAAGAAACAAGTAAATTATAGACATATCAACTCCCCCAAACTTAGTTTTTGCTTTCCTTCAAACAAACAATCAAGAAAAAACTGGAGGAGAGGTTTGAAGATGGGGATTCAGAACCAAAGTGATTGCTCGAGTAATTAACTCGATACACTTAACCGCTAGGTAGTATATTCGAGGTCGATCCACAAGGACCAAAGATACTCTAAAGACTTCCGAGACTCGTTCTTAGCTAAAGCGGAAAGGTTGTTTTGTTTGGGTTTTCAGAATTATAAATAAAAATGCAAGTAATTTAAACGATTAAACTTATGAATTAAAGACATTGGGCATTAGGGTATTTCAGAGATCAACGAATAATGGAAACATGAGACAAGGAATTCAATGATTAAGCACCGTTCTTGAACATGAACACATTTAGACTAATTCTCTTTCAAGACATTAATCACTAAATTTGACTACTCGATTACTAAACTTTCGCATGTAATTTCCTAGTCAAATTCGCATTATCAAACAAGTTCATTAAGTTCACAATGCGTCCTAACGTCAACTTTCGTTGGCTAGAAATACATTGCTCAATTCACATTCTTTCAGGCATTCTATCGAACACTTTTGATGCATAGAAAAACCTAGAATCTACAACAGGGTGATCAATCCTATTCTAGCATTAAGAACATGTGAATCAAAGAACCTATAGAATGAGAATTCCAAACAACCATCAATCCATTGAACCCCCTAATTAGAACCCTAAAACCCAATAGAGAAACTACTCACTCATGGCAAAGAAAACAACACAAAGAGATGAAGAAAGCATAATTGAATTGATAAATAAAGAACAAGGGTTTAGAAATCTTCTCCAAAGTGTCAAAGAGGATGAATCTCTAGAATCCCAAAAAGCTTACAAGAGAGAAGTCTCAAAAAATTGCAGAAAAAGAACGTGGAAAGAAAAATAGGTTTCTCTGGGTTTTTATACCCAAGTATAGAAAAAGGCAAATAAACCCGGTTAAGGAAAACCGGTCTGGTCGTCGAAAAGGGTGGATCGATCGATCCCCACCTGGGATCATCGATCGATCCCCACCTGGGATCATCGATCGATCCCCACCTGGGATCGATCGATCCCGAGCTCCTGGAATGAACACGTCTTGACGGATGAGGGTTGGATCTATCGATCCCCTCCTGGGATCGATCGATCCCGAGCTACTAGAACTTTTGGCTTCATCGTCACAATTGGGATCGATCGATCCACGCCTTGGATCGATCGATCCCCAGCTCCTGGTGATCTCTTGTACCGTTTCTCCATTGTTTTAGCTCCGAATAGGCTCAATCACGCACAAGATGCTTCGAATCCAGCTCGAGCACCTATAACCTGCAAAGGACTCAAGACACAACCGAAAAGACGCAAAAGACAGACTTTGACACGATAGATGACTCAAAACACGGACTAAATCAAGACTCGAAACCGTTAAAAACGCAACAAATCACAAAGCATGCTGATAAAGTAAATGAACTCAATGTCCGAGTTAGCAGTTGTAGAACGCATAGAGATTGAACTCTACATAAAAACCTTAGCCATATTCATCACCATGCAACCTAACATTTGCCTCGATCTACACATACTTTAAGATCTCCTTTTCCCTTTAACATTCATTAAGTAAGAACCGTGAATCAAGCAAAGCATTGTCATTGAACTCGTTTGGGTAAGGGGTAAGGCTGAGAAACAAAGATGGTTCCTCTGTAAATGGTTTCAAGTTCTTCTTAGTAACTGGGAACTCTCAAGAAGGGATAGAGGTTTAGTAGAATGCTAAAGGTGAAAGCCATCCTATGCATACAAGAACAGACCACATTTACCCAAATGACGAAAAACGTATACAACCCAATAGATGGTCCTATCTCTAAATCCCAAAGATGATCCTAGTTATACCCTTTGCTCTCAAGGCATTTTTCAATCTTTTCTTGGATCAACCCTTTCTTTCTTTCTTTTTTGGTCCTATTCTAAGGAGAGGTTTTTCTTAAACTTTGGTGAATCTAGCGGATTTGGATTTTCTTTAACAAATATGGCTCTCTTTTCTTCTTATGACTTGACACTTTTCTAGGCTTTTGCTTTTCTTTTACTTTTCACAAAGCCTAACTTCTTTGATTTCAAGCTTCCCAAATCCGTTACTAGGCTAACATGATTTTTCTGTTATGCTTCCTTCTCCCAAGAACACTAACCTTTGTCTTTTTTTATCTTTTCTTCCAAACACATTCCCAAAATCAAACTCCAGAATCCAGAATCAAACTCCCACCTAGTCCTATCTAGCCCAAAAAGCGTGGACTAGAACTACATGTGATACCATTCTTGTCGGCTCAGATCTAACACTTTCTACCAAGCTCAATCCGGAAATAGGCCTCACACACACACAAATTTATTAAGGGCCTGAAAGAAATGATAGGTTAAGGGTAGGGGAAACTATGCCAATGATGGGAATTAGCTACTTGGATTAGCAAGAGTGGTAGAAGGTGAAAGAAAATCCAAGTATGTATATTGATAGCCATGAGCTCAAGATCAATGCAAAGACATGATAATTATAAGTCAAGTTCAGGTTCTAATTGATAGGGAAAAACATCACATCAAGCATGCTTCAATCAAAACAAGAGAGTCAAGTAGTGAATTCCAAATATGGTGATGTCTTACTTCAAGCTCTATCAACATGCATTAGACAACTAAAAACGAGGGCATTGAAATCATTCAGTAAATTAGCATGCTTACAAGGCTATCTCATCATAATCGCCAATGCATATGCATCAATACTATATAGAAATATTCTAGACTAAATCCTAAAATGGAAATGCAACTACATGAATACTCTATCTTTTAGAATAATTTTCAGAAATTTTTCAAATTTTTAGGCTTTTTCAATGACATAGATGAATGCAGATTCAAGAGTATGTGCAATGCAAAAAACTTAAAAAAAAAAAAAAAAACATCAGATACTTCCTGAACCCTCCCCCAAACTTAAATTACACGGTCCTCGGTGTAATAAAAATTTGGAAAAGAGCTCCAGACAAAAAAAACAAAAGAAAGCAAACAGATCATGCAATGGTATAAACAATGAGGGCTTGGAGTTGTTACCTCAAGTGAAGAAGGAGTTGATATGCTCATTAATGCCTTCTTGTGTGTACTGCCAAGCCATTGATGAGTCTTGTTGTTGCTCTCCTACTCCTTCACCCTCTTCGTACTCGATCGCATCTTCAACATGGTAGCCAGCACTACGATCGAGTGATCTCCTGGTGTGGAGGAGTCTCACCTTGCTGCTCGAGAGAACCAGCCTTGCTTTCCTTCTTCTCTTCTGCTCACGGGGCTCATGAGAAGAGTGTAGAGCAGGTACTTGGGAGGCGCTCTGCGCCCTTGGCTCATGGACAGATTGTCGTGGCAGAGGGACCTCATGTCGCCTAGAAGGCATTTCCTCAGGAGCATCGCCTCTTGGCCCATCGGTGTTGGAAGATGAATACCTTATGATTGACTTTAAAGTCTTGATGGTCTTCCAACACTTGGAGAGAAGCTTGTCTTGTTTCTTGCTCCGACTCTGAAGCATGCCAATCTTCATGTGAGCTTCTGTCAAGCTCTTGCTCTGCCTCGCTGGTGCTAGGTGCTCTACGATATGATACTTGCTTATATCATACTCTTCCTCTTATAACTCCTCTCCCATAACTTCATCTTCATTCTCTGTGTCAGCTTTGTTCACCTCCAATTGTTGAGCTCCTTTGATGTAGAGATCCTCAGCAGCTGATATGTCTATAATTTGCATGTTTTACACATCCATTTATCACCATTTTGAGTCTAGTTTCATTCATCTTTCATAGCATTTGTCATCATTTTGTATATTTTGCATGTTTAGGTGTATCTAGCGTTAGTCTTGCATGCATTTTGCATTATGGAGTTGTTTCAGGTGCTTTGGAGCTATTGGTGTTCAGAAAGAGGAAAAACAGAGCTGAAAGTCACATTTCGACCAATCTACTCGATCACCAGTAGCAGAGAGGGAAGCAGTCAGCTCAGCAGTCCATCCAGACTGTTATACTCGATCGCAGAGGAAGAGGAGCAGTCCATCCAGACTGTTATACTCGATCATAGAGGAAGAGGAGCAGTCCATCCTGACAGTTCACAGTTCTACTCGATCACAGAGAAGAGAAGACAGTCCATCCTGACAGTCTACCCACATACTCGATCAACAGGAGAGAAGAAGCAGTCCAGATCATGCCATCAACCAACCTACTCGATCACCACCTCGACCCTCTGATCAATTCGCATTCAACCAGAGAACCTGAGCATAGGAAAAAGAAGAGGAGAGAAGGCACCACTTGATCGATTCACGCTCGACCATGAAGCCCACTTTGAGCCCATATACTCGATCACATCGTCTGTGGGCCTGTTAAGTGGACTCGAAGCCCACTTTCTTATCTTTGTTGTTTTTGTTATAAATAAGTCTCTAAGGGTTTCCCCTGAGACAGACCTGATACACGAGACCTAGTACCAATTTCTGAATACTTATTTGTTTAGAGTAGCCGCTTTTGTTTCTGCAACTTTGTATTTTCGATTCTTCTAAGTTATTAAGATTTTACTTTCATTCCTTTGTTCATTTCTGTTTCATTTTCCTTTAATCTTTCAAGTTATGCAATCATCAATCGTTTCTATGTCTTTGAGCATGTTGTCTGAGTAGTGACTAGAATTTCTGAGGATGGGATAGAGTAGTTCTGAGACCCTTAGTCGATTCTGATGGTTAAGTGTAAATTTATTGAATCCCTTCTTGATTAGTTGTGTTTACTTCTTATTCTTGTCTGATCAACTGGAATTCGATCGAAAGCATTCCCGCACCCAGAAGGTGTTCGATGGAATGCTTGATCCACTAATTCCAGTGATAATCATCTCTATCCCAATGGATTGGCCGTTTAGAGCGGTTATTGACTTTAACAGTCGGTTCTTATTTCCTGCATAGTTAGATTCCGTTAATGGAAATTAATCTGGGCTAGCTTTGCTTGAGGGTTTCTGTCACGGGAGTGAATTAATCTGTTATTGAACTTGTTGTCTAGGGATAGATTCATTGAGAATTGTTAACCATCGGAATTGATTAGAGAGACCAGACTATTCGATTACCCCATCCTTAGGAGTTTCTTATCCAATTGATTTATCTGTTTAATTACCTGCTTCATTCACCTTCTCTGTTACTTGCTATTGAGTTTGATAAATGTCTGTTTTTGGACCCTTATACTCGATCACATCCTCCTTCTAGCAGTGAGCCTTATGATCGAGTATATTAGTCATTTTTGTGCCTTTTACTACTTTCTGCATCAATCACTATGACTGTTAGAAAGACAACCAAATTCTGCTTGGCTTGACTTAGTGATTTCTGATCATATCTCATTTGTTTGCATCACACCTAAAGTGGATTGACACCTATAGTACTACACCCACATGATAGTGCTTTAGGATAATTGATCTGAAAAAACCTATTATCAATTTGGCACCGTTGCCATTTGGGTATTTTCTTTGCTATATTTGAGATTTTTGGAAACGTTAAGATCAAGTTCATTTGTTACAAGGTTACTAACTCTGTGTCTTTTTCTCTGTTTGTGTGTTTCATGTACTATCTCTGATTGGTCTGCTCAAGCTTGGCTGACCTCTGTTGTATGCAAACTCGATCGAAAGGACATCAGAACCTCCTTTTCAACGAGAACATCGACCGTATTGCTTGTGAGTTAAGGGAACAGTTAAACACAGACGCTAAGGCCGACGTTCAGAACCCAGAATTGCCAACCAATATTGGTGCTGGCGATGGACCACGCAACCACAATCAGCCTAATGGCATTGCGCCTCCGCCAGTGCAAAACAACAACTTTGAGATCAAGAGTGGTCTCACTGCCATGGTTCAGAACAACAAGTTTCACGACCTCCCAATGGAGGATCCACTCAATCACCTAGACGAGTTTGATAGGCTCTGCAGCCTCACTAAGATCAATGGAGGCAGTGAGAATGGCTTCAAGCTCAGATTGTTTCCCTTTTCTCTTGGAGACAAAGCCCATCAGTGGGAAAAGTCGCTTCCTCAAGGCTCCATCACCTCGTGGAATGACTGCAAGTAAGCCTTCCTGGCTAAATTCTTCTCCAATTCCAGGACTGCTAGACTCTGGAATGAGATTTCCGGCTTTACCTAGAAGAATGCTGAGACTTTCTGTGAAGCATGGGAGCGCTTCAAGGGATATTAGACGCAATGTCCTCACCATGGTTTCTCCAAGGCATCACTCGTAAGCACTCTCTACAGAGGCATTCTCCCTAAGATAAGGATGCTCCTTGATACATCATCCAATGGGAATTTCCTGAACAAAGAAGTTGAAGAAGGATGGGAGCTGGTAGAGAAGTTGGCTCAGTCTGATGGCAACTATAATGAAGATTATGACAGGGCCATCAGAGGGAGTTCCGACTTAGAAGAGAAGCACCGAAGGGATATGAAAGCCATGAATGAC